CACATCACATCTATTAAGTTGTTTATAGGTGAATAAAACTACTCTTCCTCTTCATTTAAAATAGAAACAGTTCAATCTGCATTTTACAGTTAGCAGAAAAGTTTAAGATGGCCTGATCCAACAAAGTATAATCTTTTCATCAGATATAGCTTACTCAATACACAAATGTTTGCCAACTGAATTGTGGTGCACATACAAAATGCTGTTTTTATTAAAGCATTTTAGTGCATAATATTTCAGTATATTAAGATCCTATTTAGTTGAGCACTAATATGTTGTAGGAAAGGGGAAGATTCTTTATTATTTTATGCTTACTATCTCATGGTATAATTTGTTACCATAATTTTCTGTGGGGTTTTGGCAGGGGGAAATTGCACATCATTAAGAACTTGCCTGAATTTCTGCCAAAAGGACCACCTCTTCTCTTCCTCTATGCCAACAACTTTCATGCCTCTTTCTGCCTTAGCTTGAAAACAGCATCCTGCTTCTATAGAGTATTGTTTTGGCAGGCACTCTAGCAGTGTAAACCCTAACTGTAGCCTCTTTTAAATAAAGACTGAAGACTGTTCTCTTAAAAGCTGTGCCAGGCTTACTCAGTTTTTAAAAAATTAAATAGGTGCTTTATTTTTTCCCCTTGGACATTTTGATGAAATCATTCCTTCTGAATGTCAGCCCTTTTAAGGATAAGATGGAGTTTTTCATGTTTGGCATAGTATTCAGGTTCTGTTTTTGAATTTGCTACTTGGCTTATAGCAAGTTTCATAATGTCTGAGCCTCTTGCATTCTGTAATTTAAAAAAATGCTACCTACCTCACAGAAGAGTTGAGGCATAATAAAGTTAATATTCTCTGAAGCCCTTTTAGGAAAGGCTGTGTATATTGTAAAATATTGTTATATATAACCTGTGTATATCTAGCCTATCCCTATGTTATATGTATAGCTCTGTATATAATACAATTGTCTTACAACAGTCACAGCAAAATACATTACAAAAATTCATAAGGCCTATATAGTAGTGTGTGCGCGTGTGTGTATACACAAACACATGCACACAAACAATACTTTGTTGTTACTCTAATGGCAAGGGGAAAGCTAGAATGATTAATGTTGTAGTCATTGACTCAAAATGTGTATGTAGCTATATAAATAGCTTTTCTCTGTATATTTGAACATTATCAAGCTTTTAATAAGAAATGCTTATTAAAATTGTACACCGCATTACTGTGTGGCTTAAATTAGTTTCTTTTAACTATATGGCAAGAAAAGTCATAGGAAAGTTTTCCAATAGTGTCTTGAATTTTACCTGATTTTTGATAATCATATTCTTTTAAAAGCTGGATTTTGATTACTTTTTCCCCTCAAGCTACTGAGCTGAATGGGCTTGAAATCATGACAATTGAGTTGCTATGGTAACCCTCTGAAGTCCTTTGAGACTTTCTTGATCCATGGAACCTCAGTTTTATAACAAGATGTATTTTGGTAACCGGTATCACCAATTGTGAAATCAATCCAAATAAGCACAAGAAACGATTGAGCACTATGGCTTATGTGCCCCAACATGTTATGGTATCTTCAGAATTTCTTCCTTTATGTTGCCCCCATTTTAGCCTTTTGGACTAATATTGAGACAAAACAAGGTTATTCTGTACATTTGTTAATTAGCAGCACTGTCTATTGATCAGGCTATCTTTTTGCTTTTGCAAGAAACAGATAAAATATGAAATGGAGAAATATGCAGATTTATGAACAATTAAAAAGCCTCATTTAATCTGATTGCTAGCACTATGTCTTAAATTTAACACAACATGTGTGTCAATATTACTACCTGCCAGAGATCGCATGAGCGCTGCCACTTGATTTCTGTTAACATTTTAGAAGATGGAGGCAGCTGAAGATCAGCCATCAAGCTAGTTTGTAGGTAAACCTTTAGACACTATATACTAAGTTTTGTTATGCTTTATAAATAAACCAGCACTTAAATTGTTCAAACAGCAGGCTAGGCACTAATAAAATGTATTATTGCTGATGAAATTTGTGTTAGAGTTTCCAATTCCTAGTTAGTTTAGTGGTGGTATCCTAATTAAACTATTTAATAGTCTTAAAAAGTGGCCCCACTTACTTCATGTCATCATTAGTCCATCTAATTTACTTAGTTCAAATAGTTCTTTTAGTCTGTTGTATTTCTCTTATCATTTTCCCTAAGTGATATCAATATGAATAGAAAATTGATAAATTGATTGATAAATTGATGATACATTGATAAAAACAAATGCTTTACTCCCAGTTTTCTAAATCCAGATAGACTGACCAGATAAGCAAAATAAGGTATTGAAGCCTCTGAAAGCACTTAATTGTAGCAATAGATTCATATATTTTACCGTTAAGAGTTTTTTTGCATTGTTTCATTACAATAAGAAAAGGGTTTTGTCTGTAAAGGTACAAGTGTTTTACTGAGCTGCCTTTTCTTCTGGATAATAGGGAAAGCTCTTTTTTTCTCTTTTAAGTATGCTTGTTTCAAGATGTCTGGGCTTTCATTCAGTGTGATGTAGAGATTGAAACTCTTCGGACTATGATTGGAGACATCTAGGTTTAAATCCTTCATGGAAATTTACTGGATAACTAGGAGAGGCACTCTTGCTCAACACAACCACCCTTACAGGATGATTGGGATAAAATGGAGATAATCATGCAAGCTGCTTGAGTCTTGAAAAGGCGAAGATACACATTTATCAATAAAAATGAATTGTTAAAAATCATGTAGAATATCTATTTAGAGGCAGAGGGGATGAAGATGAAATGGATTTGGGAGATGCAAGTTGTACACTGAAGGCTTAACGTTTAACCTTTTTTGTACCTAACTCAACAGCTAAGAAGTATTTTAATATTGTAACATTTTCATGGCATATCCTAAAATGTAGCTATCTTCAATTAAAAATTTCTTACAATTCTTAATTTCTAACAAAATCTATTAAATTTGTTCAGATATTCTTTTGCAAAACCAATGAAACTTAATAGTGTGCATTTAAAGTGGTTGAGTATTTATACCTTTGTAAAAAAAAAAAAAAGCTAAGAAAAACCATTAGGGGTTGTATCCTTGTTCTTCATACAAGTCACACAAAGGTTGAATTAAGTTTCTTTAAAATCAAATTTGACTTCTGGTGAACTTTATGGACAAATGCAACAAAATTGTTGTTTTCTTAACAATTCAGAAGTATCTTCTTTCCATTTTTTTTTTAACCTCCCAATCTAACCTACAGTGGGTCTCCAATTCACAGGGTGTTTTTCAGGCAAGTTATCACTTGCTGAGTGCTAGTGCACTAATAACTCTATTTAGCACTGTAAAAGCTTTTGCAAACCATTATTTTCAAATATTTAGTATAAGCCCATGTGAGCCCGTGGTGCAATGTGGAAGATATTGGACTTGGGCAGAGATTGAGGTTCTATTCCACCCTCAATCATGGAGGCCCCGATTGACTTTGAGCCAGGGATCAATACATTTTATAGATGAGCATTATCTTACTATTAAATTCAATCTTCGATCACTCAATACTAATTTTTAATCTAGTCTCAACCTATTTTTTTTGGGGGGGGGGAAGAGAAATCTCCAAGTTGAGTCACAAAATTATGGAAGCCACAGGACAATTGCACAGGATTTTTTAAAATTTAATTTAAAATCCAGTCACCTTTTCTTTTAGGTAAATTAGGATAAATACTCTGATTTGTATTAGAAGAATCCCCTTCAACTTTAAAAAAGCCTTATCATTTCAGCCTTGCACCATGATGTGATAACTGAGCACAATATGTTCAATGCCAATACACATTTCTTAAAAAATTAAAAGGGTACCCTTCCCATAGGGAAAAGGGGGGGAGACCAATACTGAGGCAGACTTACATAAAGGAGATTGCAATAGTCAAATCCATAAGTTTAACCATTGGATTGTGTATCAAAGCGTGCAGAACGATCCTCAGGAATTGGCACCAGTGGAGAAAAATATGGCTGAGATAGCTTGATGCTTCTGGCAGTTTTTCTAGACTTGGGGGGTGGGGGCATAGTTTCACACTGCCTGGATCCTGCATGTGACTGGATGGGGCTTTGCTCACTTGCACAGCCAGATTCCTGGCAAGCCATGGACCAGGGGTTGGGGACCCATTGTATCCAATAGTCAACAAATGTATTCAGGAAACTCAGAAGCCAAAGATGATCTGTTTTTCTTATTACTGCTCCCTGATAGCTGTATTTAAAGGCCTTTTGAGATCAGGCAATTAAACAGTTATCAAAATTAATAGCAGAGGATAGCCTAGTTGTCCCTTAACTTTTCCGATTCCCCTTTAACACCATCTAAATGGTCAAGCATCACTCTCAGATAGGAGCAAATTCAAGATATACTTCTGGGAAGCAAAACTTGACAAGCACAGCAGAAATTGACGAGAGTAAATACACATATTGCACTATAACCTCTGTTTGAGAAGTAACATCTAAACCTCAATTTTTTTGGTGCCAACTCAGTGTTGATTCCTGATGACTGCCTGGACTAGTCCCTGCAGTTTCTTTGGCAAAATTTCAGAAGTGGCTTGTCATTGCTTCCTAGGACTAAGAATGTGTGAATGGTCCAAGGCTATCCAGCTGCTTTAGGCTTAATGTGCAATAAGAACTAGTGTCCAGATTTCTAGCCTGGTGCCTTTCCCATATCAAATGACTCATCTCAACCTCTAATAATACCATACCAAACAGAAGGAAAGGTCTGGACACCTTGGTAAACTTCCTTTGAAAATTCTTTCTTTCCCAGGACCCTCAATTCAAATAAATTCAGATGCTATTCTTTGCTTATTCAAACCAAGATATCAATCAGAGCATGAAACCTGCCCAAGACATTTTCGCATTCCTTTTGTTTAGTCTTAAGTCTTTCCACTTCTCACTTCTTTGGTAAGGAACCTTGCCCTCTCTTATGGTCTACATTTTACATGCCTTTATAAAGCGGTGATTTTATTCGTTGCTATTTATTTTAATTGCTGTTTTAAGGGTATATTTAAATCTTGTATCATTTGCATGTATTTCATGATATCTACTTATGATAGATCAGACTAAGAAACCAATACCATACAGACCTAGTTATCTTTATTATAACCCTTATAACAATTACCATAATCTTTCAAGTCTGAATGTGCTTCCCTCATCCCTCTTTATTAAATGTCCCATTTGAGACATTTGCTCAAATACATTTATAATTTTATTCATTTATTTATTGGAATGGGATTATGCCACATTTGTTTCATTTTAGCCTTGGTAGTGGCTCTTCCTCCTATCCTTCAAGGTCCCTCTCTAAGATCTTCACAGCTTTATCTACTTTCTGTAAAAAATAAGGCAACAGGTAAATGATAGGGAAGGAAATGAATACAGTGGCAGACCATATTTTCCATGCATAGAAACATAAAGTTGTGCTGGATTACTCCCAGCTGTACATGTTGAACTCCAGAGAAGGCATAGAACACAACAGATAAGAATTGTCACTACAACAGTACCATCAGATGTGTCAAGACATAGAGTGCATATTAAAGATAATCTGGTTTAAATAAATTATTTGAATTTTAGTGAAACTTTTGGCTGATTTTTAAATGTTTGCAAATATCACTTCTCACCTTGCATAATAACTTTATGATTCATGATCCAAGAATTCAGAGCATTCCAGATCCAATGGGAAATTTCGTAACAGACATCCTCATCTGCCTTTTCCAGTAATGGAAAAGCTGAATAAACCACTATAAAGCCTATGACAGGAGTCTTCAAACTTGGCCCTTGGAATGCTGGCTGAGGAATTCTGGGAGTTAAAGTCCACAAGTCATAAAAGGGCCAAGTTTGAAGACCCTGGCCTATGAAATGTAACAAGTAAGTCCCATGTTCCCTAAAAAATAGTATTCAGAGGCACATTGTATCTTGTTTCTTGTATAATTGAAGTGGTAAATCCCAGATACTTTTCTGGCAAGAAAAATACAAGAGTATAGAACCATTTTATATCATTTTTCAAAATCCTAAACCAGCTATCTGAGCCTCATGGTTAAGCCAAGACTTTCTGCTGTTTGACATGAAGATTAAGACTTTGCAGTGGGACTGGTGACTCAATGTGTCTTTTGTTCCTGTTAGTGAAGCCCTCCTCCACTGCAATGCTTCTAAGACACCAACACGAGCATTGCTGTCTCCCTCTAAGTTCCTGTCCCACCTTTTTACATTTTAAAAAGTTTCAAATCAAAGAAATGCAACTGTGGCCAAGTGCAAGCAAAGATTCCAGCATCATCTTGATTTGCAAGAACAGGTCTGGACCACCAGTGGGCCCAATACCCCTTCTTTAAAAAAGTAGAATTGTTTTTTTGGAATCGTATCTTGCAGGGCTCAGGATCAAGCAGGATGCTGAAAAAGCATTATTTTGTATCTACTTATGGGGCTCTGGCAGCCATTTTATGAATAGGCAGCCCCCCCCACCTCCAACCATTTTGCAAGGACGCCTCCACTACTATATTAACAATCCCAAGCACCGCAGACATCCTCGTGCCTGCCTGCCAGCACCCACAGGACATTAGCCCGAGGCGCTGCGCGTCAAGACACGGGAGAGCGCCCAAGCGGGGATGCAAGAGGCCAATTTCCGCAGACCGCAGGGAGGAAGTTGACTGGCGACTAAGTCTCGTTCGGCTGCACTTCGGAATCGGATCTTCGGCGCTGTTCCCGCCTTGCCCTTCGCAGCCGCCTGCAGTCCCGCCCCGGGAGGAGGCGGAGAAGCAAACCAAGGTCAGGCGAGCCTTCCGCGTGCGCCCCTCTCCCTCGCTGGCTTCTAGGGCGCCGGGAGGAGCGGGGCTGGGCGCCATGAGCGAGCGTCGCGGCTGTCGCCCTGGATCGTGCGGGCCAACCAGGCCGGGAAGCAGCGAGGTAACTGGGCAGAGCGCCGCCGTCAGGCCTAACAGCCGGCGGCGAAGGTCTTTTGGAGGACGCCTCTTTCGGCAGAGCGGCGTGACGCGCATCGCATCAGGCGGGGCTAACGCTGCGGTGGGATTGGCCCATTTCTTGGGAGATAAATCTCTACGATCATTCTAGTACTTCTGAATGCAGCACGTGGGATTCGGCCAATGATACGTGCGAGAAACTGGCTGGCGATTATAGGGTTTCCGCTCCCTCCTTGAGAACCTCTGTTCGCCTTCCAATAGGCTTCTATACGCTCGGTTTTAGAAAAGTCATCAAGATTTTCGTTTTATAGTTTTTAAAGCACTTAGTCGCTGTTGATCTTGGTTTTTACGGGCATCATAATTGTATCCGTACTTAGTTACAGAGGTGGTATAAAAATTATGAAAATGTTAAATGTTAACCAATTCCAGGCAACTGAACACTGCTCAGATTGGGGTTTTTGTCCCATGATTTAGTATTTTGTCTGATACTATTGGTCAAAGATTGATTATGCATTTGTCCCATATTTTATTTACAATGGGCATCAGAGATATTTATTTAGATGCTGCCTGACTCACTTCATGAAAGCAAAACAACACACAATAAAAAATAGAATATCTAACAAGAAGAAAGATTGCAAATCCATCCAGCAACAAACATCATACACCCCAAAAGGACTCCAACCAGCCTTCAAAACTAGGCATCTGGGTCTTAGATTCCGATTCTTTGGTGGCTGGGCAATTTGTAAGCCTGCAAGTAAAAACACAGTTAAGTATACAGTACAAGCTGTCTAAGCTCAATACACAGCAGCTTACCGTGTCTTCAGGGCATCACCCAATCTTCACTAAAGTAACAAAAAGCTCCATGGTACTGTTATTTTGGCCTAACAATGGTTGGGTGAACGTAGAAGACCTTAGTAAGGAAATGATCTCTAGGGGTTTCCCCAGACATGAGGCTTATTTAGGCTTTAAATTGTTAACATGGTTCTAAATACGATGCCTGAGAAGAGCTGCTATCTGCTGTGTATCTATAGTACAAACTACCAGCTTTTAGATGGGACAGTAGACATCGAAAATGCCTGGGTTTGACTTGGTTTCCCGAATCGCTTTAAGATCTGGGAGTTGTGATTTCAAAGCTTGGCTTAATTGCAGCATAAAGCGAGTTCCTCAAGTGTGCTACAAGAAAGCTCATGCTAAAAGTGTACATCAGAGTTGTGTTGTTGGTATTGTTATCCTTCTCCACATTGCACACATTCCTGAACTGAAAGCTGTGTTCTTGTACTCTGTGTAAGTTGTCCCCATCAAGATAGTCTTTCAGTAAATCAATATCTGACCAACTCAGAACCTCTATGCAGGGATAGTTTCTGGATTTAGAAAGAACAGATTAAGATAATTGATGCTTGGATTAATAATAGATGAAAGCTAAGGAAAGCCAGTGATAATGTTGAAAATAGCATATGTATGATTTCTTGCTTTTTCTTTAGGAGTTGCCCACAGATGGACTTGAAAATGGCTTAAAATCAAATGAAGAACCTCTCTTAAGAAAGAATCCCCATCGATTTGTCATCTTCCCAATCCAATACCCTGATATATGGAAAATGTACAAGCAGGCTCAGGCTTCTTTCTGGACAGTAGAAGAGGTGAGTTGCACAGAAGACAAGTTGCAGCAAGTGACCAGCATTAACCCAAGGGTGGGCTGCAATGTCAGTCTGGGGACTACATTTCCTTTTTCTGTCCTATCTTGGGGCCATCAGGATGTGATCAGTGACACAATGATGCCTGCAGGACTTAAATATTCATTCTGCCCCTTAACCTCAAAAGTAAAGGCTTGAAGTGTTCAACTAATTTTTCAGATGGGATTGCAGATGGGATTTGGGGAGATGTGAATTATTCACCCCTAGCCTAACACTAGCAACAGTGTTAGGAACACGAAAATGGCTTGAATACCAGAGGATTTTTGGCAGAAAGAGTGATCAGCTTCTAGTAGCGATCACAGATTTCTACCCAGAGCATAGGTAATCCTTTTATTTCCATCTTGGCAGAAAAGTGGCTTTGCACCTTGGTCCATATGGTGAAACTCAAACCCTGTAGTAGATCCCTCAAGACCAAACAACTGAAAAGTCCTTGATATATTTAGACCATAAGGCAGCCAAGAGACAGAAGCAAAGGTGCAGAAAAAATTCTGTTCACTGACCTGGTATTCTAGTTTACATACTTTCCTTACATTTAGGGTAACACGCTTTTAAGAAAGAGTCAGTTTCTATTATAAAAAGGCAGCTACTATTGCAAACAAACAAACAAATGAACTGCCTACTTGCATGAGCAATGAAATATTTGAGGAATTTGTTTACTTGTTTTTGTTTTCTGGTATTGTTCAAGGATAGAAGGGATTTCTGGAATAATCATACAATGAGTTGTATGTGTGCTCATTGTCTTTCCCTCTCCTTTAAAGGCAAATTATGTGTCAATTTAGGGAGAGAATTTCTAGTAAACTAGTGTATACTCACCAGGTAACCACCAGATGATTAGGATATAACTCCCAATTATCTACAGACCCATCCTGGCAGAGGATGATGAGGGTAATAATAACCCATTACATTTAAGAATAATCCATTACATTACAAGACACCACATGGGAGAAGAGGGTTAGAAGCCAGGAGAATCAGCAAAAGCAATTAAAAGAAATTCAAAATGCAAGAAGAGCAATATGATAGAAGCCCCACCCTTTTTAATGTGTATTACAAGACATGTAAAAAGAGTGGGGCTTTGATGGTGAAGTTGCAGCCACCAACTTTATCAAATCCCCCCCCCCATGAATGCCCCTCTTTAAATTATAGGGTATATTCTCTTGGACATTTATTTTGCTTTTCAGAATTATCAGTAAACAATGACAATTTCAAATGTGTAATCTATATTTCTTTCTTTTTTTTTTTTTTTGTAAAGGTTGACTTGTCAAAGGATCTTATTCATTGGAACAACCTAAAACCAGAAGAGAAACACTTCATTTCGCATATCCTAGCTTTTTTTGCTGCCAGTGATGGAATTGTTAATGAAAACCTAGTGAGATGCTTCCTGTGATGTAGCCTATAATATTTTGATGTTATGTTTCTTTTTCATTGCATGCAGTCAAACATCTATTTGTAATTGTACTTTGCATGTATTTGATGTTTGTCATGAGGAACATTGTGGCTATTTTTCTGTAAATACTTAACTTTTAATGAAGTTTGTACTAATCACACTGACTTTCAACTGCTTTTTCTTGGGAATCCTATATGTGTATATCATATTCGCTTTACCCAGAGATGCTCTTTTGGGAGAAAACAGTCATTTTTATAAGACATCATGGCCTCATGCAGGGTGTGAACCTGGTCTTACATGAACATTTAGATATCTGACTTCTTTTGTTGGCAGGTAGAACGTTTTAGCCAAGAAGTGCAGATCCCAGAAGCTCGCTGTTTCTATGGCTTTCAGATATCAATAGAAAATGTTCATTCTGAGATGTACAGTTTGTTAATAGACACCTACATCAAAGATCCTGAGAAAAGGTAATTAGCGTAAGTATTACCACTATGTAGAGGACTTACATATTTCTTTTTTTTTATAGTTTTCATGTATAGTCTGGTTTAGGTGTAATGGGAGACTGTGGTTTAACATTGCAAGGACATATCAGTGGAAGTTTGTATTTTTTTAATATTCTTATAAGAGAGAGAGGAAGAGTTTTTGCTTGATCTTAAGAAAATCAGTATTTGCTGATTTTTAGGTTTTTTTATTTAAACTTTTTTATTTTATTTTTACCCTATCTTTATTATGTTTATACATAACTGAAGGCGTCAGACATTTACTATTCCTTCCTCCTCCTATTTTCTATATAACAACAACCCAGTGAGGTTGGTTGGGCTGAGAGAGAATGATTGCCAGCTTTCATGCCTAAAGTAGGAGTAGAACTCGTTATCTTTTAATTTCTAGCCTGGTGCCTTAACCACTAGACTACACTGGCTTCAAGGAATGAAAAATAAATTAAGAATACTAAATTATAGTCTTAGGCCCTGGCTTATTTTCACTAATTATGATGGTATCATTAGAAATGGAAACATATGATTTTCATTTTTCACTCCTTCTGGAGAAATGGAGAAGAAGAAAGTGGAAAAATTGTTTGTATTTAACATTCAGAACTCATATAGTTGTGTCACTTTTTTCCGTGGTGAAGTATATGAAGATCCTTTTTGTGTTAAGGTAGCAATTCCTGGAAAATGTTTGATTTTAAATTTTTGTTCAAACTGCAGAAGAGATTTCTAGCATATGTTTCTGTAGTTTCAGAAGATTCTGTATCAGTGAGAAATGAAAGTGCTATGTTAAAAGCATCCTTGCTCTTCTTGGATGTAAGCTAATTTGTCACAGCAAGTGATCTATGCTTTGGTGTCAGTCTCATTACCCAGATTTACAGTCTTTTTGTTTTCCTCCATTCCTCCTCCCTCCTTCCCCATCCTCTCAGGGACTTTTTATTTAATGCTATTGAGACAATGCCATGTGTCAGGAAGAAAGCAGATTGGGCAATGAAGTGGATAACAGACAGAGAAGCCAGTTTTGGTAGGTGCCTCCATTGTATATATATATGTATATAAAAACTGTAGATGGTTCCTCTAAGCATCTGAATATGTCCTACTCCCAGGAACAAATATAATCAATAATATACATTTAGAGATAGACAGTAAGCTTTTTGCTTCCATCCTAAATTGATGAAACCCGCTAATGTTCATTCGTATATATATATATATATATTTTAAAAAAGCTTTTTACTCTGAAATATGCAACCGATTTTCCTTAAGTCAAAGTGCTTTTTATACTTATCGGATGCTTCCCACAGAGTATGACAGTGAACTAAACCTTTGCCATTTCAGTAGATTCTATATTTACATATATTTATTCAATCTTTTCTACATCCTAGAAGTTGACATTAATATCTTAAGAATATACAGATTCCAGAAGTCTCTGTGTTAAAGCTATTCCTCTGGGGAATTAAACAATTAACAGGTTTTCTGAAAGATCTCTTTGGAATTAACACGACAAGCCAAATGAGACACTGAGTCTAGAGTCTTTATACAAGATATAGTAGATGCTCTTTCCTTGCTAGCAAGATTGCACTTTAATTAAGATTTGGAAGGATTGTGGGTTTCGTCAGTGTTTCCCAGCTTTTGCACTCCAAATGCATTTACTTCACACCCTGGCTGAGTAAAATAGGAAAACACTGTTTTATTCTTTTCTACAATTTGAAGGTTGATTAATTGTCTGAGAAGTTAACAGATTCTGATTTCATTGAAACAGGTGAAAGAGTGGTTGCGTTTGCTGCTGTCGAAGGAATCTTCTTCTCTGGTGCTTTTGCAGCCATATTTTGGCTCAAGAAGAGAGGGTTAATGCCAGGCCTTACTTTCTCCAATGAACTTATTAGCAGAGATGAAGTAAGGTGTGGGGCAAAAATATTTAAGGTTAAATATGATGCCTTCAGAGAAGCAGTATTACTTGTAGACTCTCTTATTTGTTGAGAGTTGCACAGTCTGCAAATTTTATTTATTATGGCTAGTTGCACAGTCAGCCAGCTATTTAGACTGGATTTGGCACTTTTATCCAGCTATTGAGTCTTTCCCAAGGACCTGGGATAAGCAGATGCTTTTAATGATGTTAGAGAATGGTTGCAGGATGTAAGCTGTTCCAAGTAAAGCTACCTTTTGCAATTGACTGATGGGGATTATTACTATTTTGGGCATGAAGTTCATGATGATGTTTCATACATCATTAAAATCTGGAAAAAAAATCACACAGTGCTGGTTAAGAAGAATATTTTGAATGCTATCATTTTTTGTAGTACAACAATATATTGTAGTTTGAGAAAACGCAATTCCCAATTCTACCAATATTTTTAGGATTGTATGTTTTCCCAGTCTCCAACATACTACTCTTAAATTTAAAATATTGAATGGGGAATAAATATGACTTCTGAATTAGAAATGGTATAAACCAGTGGTGGCGAACCTATGGCACCTGTGCCAGAGGTGGTACTCGGAGCCCTCTCTGTGGGCACAAATGCTGTCATCCCAGCCCTGCTTCCCATCACAGCCCCGTCCTCAACAGCAACCCTCCCAGAGGAGAGTCACCCCTGGGTGTGGCCCACGCGGAGCAGTGCAGCCAAGCACATGGCAGCTGGGCAGCGGATGATGCTGATGGGCGCAGTGGAGGCCGTGGCCACATGGTGCTGCAGGGCCGCCTGGGCAATGTGCGATGGGCTATGAATGGCCCCGAGGGTGGGCGGGATGAGGGTGGGTGGGCAGAGTGGGGGCGGGGCGGGGGTGGAGTGGTTTGTGGGCACTCGGTCTCTAAAAGGTTCGCCATCACTGGTATAAACTACTTACAAGGAATAGGGGTATGCAAAGCAAGTTTGTGAATTAGGCAAGAGATGTCTGGAGACATCTATATAGACAAAATTAATGCATATTTTATTTTAAGTTTTAAAACACATTTTAAACTATTGCTATTAACAGGCATTGTTAGTGGATTATTTTAACTTTTAAAAATAAGCTGCAAAGGCTTAAAGTAGTTCTTACATAAAAAAATGTCTTCTGCTTTTTCAAAAAAAGTTCTTATATTTCTGTCTTGTTTATTTCTTTAAGGGGCTCCACTGTGACTTTGCTTGCCTGATTTTTCAGCATTTAATGAATAAACCTTTGGAGGAAAGAGTGAAAGAGATCATTGCCAATGCGGTTGAAATTGAAAAGGTAAGGAGATCGGACACCTTTGCCTGAACATAGTTGTGATCAACCTCATAATAATTTATAAGACCACTTGGCCTATGATGAACTTTAATATGAAGTACTCAGTTGTATTTTTCAGAATTTGCATAATATACACCCTAATGTGGCATTTGGATTGGGATAACTAATCCCGTAGGTTAAAATGTGGTGAACTAGTTGTGATTTAGTGTGTTATGCAAACAACTGCTCTATCCACATTTTATATCTTTGTGATTTGCTGCTGTGATTGTTCAAAAAAGTATGGTATGAAGGTCAGGTCAGTTATTTGCTGAATGAAGCATAATTGCCTGAGCTCACATAATATTCTAACCATAGGCATGGTTTACAAACCAGAATCAAATTGATTAATGTTTAAGGTAAATAATTACTATATATAGTTGCTCTTAAGGCTTTGGTGGACAAGAACTCTCTCTCTCTTTCTTCTTGTCCTCTCCCCCAATATCCCACCAAAGCCTTAAGAGCAGCTCCAGAACTCTCTAAAAGCTGCCACAAATCATTTTTTTAAATATATATAGGTTTCATGGGGTAGCCCTTGCTGGAAAACTATTCAAAATGGCCCCCCAAAATAGGGGGCTTTGTGGAATTGGAACTCAGATCTCACTGGTCCTTATTCAACATGAACAACTACAGCACAGTGACTCAGTCTTCCAGAATTATTATGGTGAACTGGGAAAATATTCCTGGAAAATAATTTCATTTTTTTTTACTATGCAGGAGTTCTTGACAGAGGCCTTACCTGTGGGGTTGATTGGAATGAATTGTACTCTGATGAAACAGTATATTGAATTTGTGGCTGATAGACTGCTTCTGGAACTGGGTTTCCCTAAGGTAAAGTAATTTAGGAAAATATTTGCATGGAGCTTTGGCCTTTGAAGAGAACTTTGCCTAAATCAGTGGTTCTCAACCTTTTTAATGCCGCGACCCCCAGCTGGTTGTAAGTCGAGGACTACTCAACTGGTGCAGCACCGTTTGCAGAATGGGACTTTTGGCAGGCTCAGCAGGTCAGAGACAGCCTGGACAATTCCTATTGGCTTTTGAAAGCCAATAGAATTAGACTCTATTCAAGAGAGTCTATTATATTGGCTTTCAAAAGCCAATAGAATAAAAGGGAGTAGCACAGCTAAGGAAAAGAGGGAAAAAAATGGCGGACTGCGGTTTGGCGACCCCCGTGAAATGGTCGTTCGACCCCAAATGGGGTCCCGACCCACAGGTTGAAAACCATTGGCATAAATCTATGTCAAGGTAGTGTCTGACCTCTTGCTTTGTAAGGAAAATGGTGTTTGTTCTGTATTTGTGTACGGGTAGCATATGTATCTGTAGGTAAAGCCAGTGGCTTTTCTTTTATTGATCATATTTTCTTGCAATTCACTTATAAACTTAGTGCCAATTTTAGAATATTTATACTCCAATTTTCCACACATGGAAAAACCAGACTTCACAGTAGCCTATTTCAAGCTTGGAATCTTAAGGTATCTGAGATACCAGCTTGGAATCAAAGCCACCATGGGAATTCTGAGAATTGAAGGGCAAAAACTGCAAGGTATCTTTTATTGAAAAGGCTGGCCTAAGTAATTAAAAATAGTTTTATCAAGGTAGGGAAATAGTGCAAAGCACAGCTTTTGGAGTTCAGTTCAGTGTCTCTCCATTTATGGCCATAACAGGCATCTGGTTTATCCTTTGTACTGTAACGAAGGAACATATTGCATCTCCCTATGTGGTGGCTCCCAGCAAATTTGGATCTATTCTGTTCGGTGTTGGGAGAAATATCCTGCTGATCGGCAGATAAACAAGCTATAGCCCCCAGGGCTTAGAAATAAATGTGCACAAAAATATACACATATTTGTGCATTTGAAGAGATTTTCTTGTGTTGTTTAAAAATGCAAACTGATATGGAATGTGATCGAACAGGTGATGTGTAAAAAAAGATGTGAATATATAGAGGGCAAAGTAAAAAGATCTGTCAATTATTGCAAAATTGAAGGCTTTTAGAAAACTTGAAATATCTTGGTTTTCTCCTGGTCATCCTTGTCAGTGCTCCAACACTGAAAGTTTTTAAGAAGAGATTGGACAGCCATTTGTCTGAAATGGTATAGGGTTTCCTGCCTGAGCAGGGGATTGGGCTAGATGACCTCCAAAGTCCCTTCCATTGGACTAGATGACCTCCAAAGTCCATTATTATTATTATTATGGATCATAGCACAGTCAGCCAGATGTTCAGACTGGATTTGACATTTTGTCTACCTATCAAGTCCTTACCCAGGACCTGGGATAGGCAGATGTGGATGTTTGATGGTATTACAGGTATCGTCGCAGGATGGAAGCAGTTCCTAGTAAGGCCGCCTTTTGCAATTGACTAATAGCGAATTTGTCAATATTATTATTATTATTATTATTATTATTATTATTATTATTATTATTATTATCATTAATCAGCCAGATGTTCAGACTGGATTGGCATTTTTGTCTACCTATCGAGTCCTTACCAAGGACCTGGGATAGGCAGATGTGGATGTTTGATAGTATTACAGATATTGTCGCAGGATGGAAGCAGTTCCTAGTAAGGCCACATTTTGTGATTGACTAATGGCGAATTTGTCAATGTCAATGGTGTTCAAGTGGTGCTCCAGTTGTTTTGGGAATGCACCCAAGGTGCTTATTACTATTGGTACTACCCTTGCTTGCCTTTGCCACAGTCTTTCTATTTCTATTTGTAGGTCTTTCTATTTTGTTATCTTCTCCAGTTCGTTCTCATCTATTCTGCTGTCTCTAGGCACTGCCACATTCACTATCCAGACTTTTTTGTCTTTTTTATTGACAATTGTTAAGTCCAGGGTGTTATGTGGCAGGTGCTTGTCTGTTTGAATTCTGAAGTCCAAGAGCAGTTTAATTTTACCATTTTCTATGACTTTCTCTATTTTATGATCCCACCAGTTCTTGCTTACAGGCAAATGATATTTCTTGGAGATCTTCCAATGCACCATTGTTGATACTTTGTCATGCCGCTGCTTGTAGTCAGTCTGTGCGATCTTCTTGTAGCAGCTTACCAGGTGGTCCACTGTTTCTTCAGCTCCTTTGCATAGGCGGCACTTACTGTCTGTTGCTCTCTTCTCAATTTTGACTTTGTATGCATTTGTCCTTCAGGCTTGGTCTTGTGTCTCTTTCTTCAATTTTCCTGCTCTGAGCCATTGCCAGGTCTTGTTATCTGTTTTCCCAGCTATTTTTTTTAATATACTGGCCATGTAGTGCTTTGTCTTCCCATGCTTCTATTCTGTTCTTCATTTGGTTTTTCTTGTAGGCCAGTTTGGTCTCTCCAGTAGTCAGTAAGCCTTCCTGATATACTAATTTCAGGGCATCTTCATCATTGTCCTTCAGATATTCTTCCAAAGCCATTTTTTCTTCTTCAACCATCTGATGTACTTGCAGCATTCCATACCCACTTATTTGCCTTGGTAGGTAGAGTCTGTCAATGTCACTGCATGGATGAAGGGCATGATTCATTGTCATTATTTTTCTGGTCTTCCTATCCATTGCTTTTAGTTCTGCTTGAGTCCAGTTCACCATTCCAGCTGTGTATCTAATGACTGGAATTGCCCGGGTGTTGATTGCCTTCATGGTATTTCCTCCATTGAGTTTGGACTTTAAGATCTTCTTCACTCTCTTGATGTATTCACCTCTAATCTTTTTCTTGACTTCAGTGTGCTTGATGTTGTCAGCTTGGAGGATATCCAAGTATTTGTAATAATCTTCCTCATCCAGACTCTTAATGTTATTTTCATGGGGTATCTTGATTCCTTCAGTTTTCACTATTTTTCCTTGTTTGATAGTAAGTGTGGCATGTTTGTCCAAGCCAAACTCCATTGCAATATTGAGTTGTTGAGCAGCGATTCTATTTCAGATGATGTTTTTCCATACAGCTTCAGATCATCCATGTAAAGGAGGTGGGATAGTTTAGTGGTGATAATGAATCTCCTTGAAATATTCCTCTCTTGATATTAACCTCTCCCAGTCTTTCACTATTGATCTGCAACTGTGTCTTCCATTGTGCCATCGATCTTTGCACAAAGTTTCTGATGTTTCTACTGACTCCTGTTATTTCTAAGCACTTGATTATACAGTCATGTGGCAGAGAGTCAAATGCCTTTTTGTAGTCAATCTATGCCGTTGTTATTGTTGTTGTTGTTGTTATTATTATTATTATTATTATTATTATTATTATTATTATTATTCAAAGAGGAAGAAACCAAAATGGGGTAGGGAGGTAAATGGGAATACTCCCTAGAAATCACCAAAGATTAATTTGTCCTTGCAGTGCCTCATTCAGTTCTTATGTTTTAATAATAATTTTGGTTTTCTCAGATCTTTCAAGCAGAAAACCCTTTTGACTTCATGGAAAACATTTCCCTAGAAGGAAAAACCAATTTCTTTGAGAGGAGAGTTTCAGAATATCAACATTTTGCAGTTATGTCCGAAGCAAATAATAAGGTATTTACTTTAGATGCTGACTTTTGACGCTGCCTACTTGGAAGATTGACAAAGCCAAATTTCACCATCAGTGACTACAAGAAACTTCTTACAATCCAAGTAGGGTATTCTTGGAATATTTTATTCACTATTGATAATTGATAGAAAAGTTTCTACAAATACTGTAGGTTACAGGTTGTGTGCATATATGCACTCTTAACAATTCATTCTGTAACATCATGCAACTTTTCTAAAACTATATTGTGACATTTAGGACAAAGATCAGCAGCTGATCATTTTGATAAAATCCAATCCCATCTTTAGAGTGGAAAGCTTTTATGATAATGAGAATGACTACACTATAATATTCATTCCTACCTCAGTTCTTGAACTGATCTGAGATGAAAGACATACTCCTTTGTCTTAAAGGAATATTCCAGCATAAAGTCTTGGTTAATGCTGGGATGGGAGACCATCAGAGAAACTTAAGACTACAAGCTAGATTTGAAAAACATTCTAGGCAATGGAAAACCACTCCTGCATTGTTTCAAGGACATCAACATGGACATGACCACATAATCAGCAGGTATCGAAATTGACTCAGTAGAGATTTTGTTTTTATGCAAAAGAAAATTGTACTTGGGAAAATGAAGATGACACGAGCACTTTATAATCCTTTAAAAGCATCATTCATTTTGGTTAGTCAAATCAGCACAATGTCTGAAGTAATGTGTTTTGGAGGGATTTTTTTCATTTGGCCTCAAAACTTCATTTTGACTTTAAACTTGATTGCAGCAACCCACATGACATAGAACTGATCACTTGACACAAAGTTTTGGCTTATTCAGCATGATGAACCAAGATAGCTTGTTCTTGTTATGCAAACATAGCTATTTTCATAACAAATTAGTGCTTAAAGTAATGTGTGAACAGTGTCTGTGTTTATATGATATACTGATCCAAAAACTATCCAGGGCATTTTAAGTGAGTGTCTTGTCTGAACCCAGACTTTATAATTAGTTTTTGGTGTGTCATGCAGACTTAGAAAATTGGGGTAATTGAATAATTTATGCATAATGATATCATATGAACTTAGCTTCATTGTATGTAGTGGGATAAGATTTAAGCTTTTCCTTATTTAGCATGTGAGCAATGAAAAACAGATGACTACAAAAGTATACTTTAAAAAGAGAAAATATAGAAGTAATTGACAAAACCGAAGCTTCCTTTGTGAAACATCATAGCTAATGTTTAAGTGGGAAAACCAGTTTTGTCAAACTTTCTGTATGAGCATCCAATAAAGGGGGTGGGTAGGGCAGAGGCAAAGATAATTTAATAATGCTCAAGATATCATTGTTTTTTTCTTCTAGAAGTTGCACTAGCACCTTCCAGATATCTTGGACTTTCAGCTCACATAATCTTTGAGTTATGAGACAGTTTTATTCATCACTGTTCCTGTCCAAATAGGATCACAATTTAAGGACGAAATATATCACAGGGATGATATAAATCACACCCTAATATTGTCAGGAATTGATGAAGGTTTGATACATTGTGCTAAGCCATTGTAAGGTTTGTGCTGTGTGATCAGTTAATTGTGGGTTACAGATTAGAAGTTGAGTGTATTGTTTGAACCCACCATAGCTTTAAAGCTGAAATAGTTGCAAAATTGCTTTTTCAGGAACTGTAATAAGAAAAAGCAATGTTAGAAAGTCAGTGGCTAATGAACTCAGCAAGTTTTACATTAGAGTAAATATGTCAATAATTGTATTATCAGTGAGTTCTTAAAGATCTGAAGTTTATAAAGCTTCCCCTTTTTTGGTCCGTGCAAATTTGTTTGGTCTTGAATTCAGCCTTAGTTAAGGAAACAGGCCTTCTGATCCACTTCAGGGAAGTAAATGAGATATTTTGTTGGATGTATTTTAAAGCTTTTTCAAATATTCCTGTTTCATGTATAAGATTCTGATTTAGTCATTTTATTAATGACATAAAACTTGCATTAAGTTTTGTAAAATCTTTTTAATTCAGTTTAATTTATCTTTTCACCAGTAAAATGTCATAAATATGAACTAGAATGGACAATGTAAAGAATGCTTCATAGTTTGTCACTAATACGTTTTGGAAAAAAATACAAAATGGTTTAAATAAAAATAATGAGAACAAACTCTGTGGTTTTCCTTTTGTGAATTTTCTGTTTGGACCCATTGAGGATAACATGCCACAATTTACACAAAGCTCTTATCCAGAGTCAAAGGCTGGTTGTGGAAACATATGCTCTGAACCCAAATTCAATCCCTAAGATGCCAGAGACAGTAAAAGTCAGGGATATGAAAAATGTTGACCTTTACCATGTTCTTTTTCAAGTTTGCAAGAATGAAACAGCTGTTTTGTGTCAGAGGGGCTGGTTTAATCATTTTGGAAATATTCCAGGATTTTGAATATGGAACAGCTGTTGACATACAAAATACTTCCAAAGTGACTGAGAGAGTCCAAGTTAGTGCCCAGAATAGCTGTTTTGCACTCAAAATGGGCAATTTGAACATGCATTTGAAATTATTTGCACACCCTATTAACCCTGAGGTAGAAATTAGCCAACCATTTTTTTTTTGCCAAGCAACCAGGTTAATTCAGTAAGTATGCTAAATTCATACAATGTTGTAAACACAGTCTAACTATGTTGCCTGAATTTAACTAGTCTCAACCCTAAAATATAGTTGGTTAGTTCCTGCAGCATATGTGTTAAAAACAGTGCAGGGTCAAATACAGTGATAGCACACTACAACCTTTTAAGTGAGGTCACAAATTGTCTGATCCAGAGTCTGACTAACTACCTTATTAATGCTTTCCTAGAAACTAACAGTTTGAACCTCGCAGGGAATGTTAATTCCAGAAAGCAGAAGTAGCGAAGTCCCACAAGATGGCAGGTTGTGTACAGGACCCAGAACACCACCGTCCTACCAAGTCTTACCAAATTGGTAGAAATGGTTGGAGAAAGATGTTTGAGAGGGAACCAAGTCCTGAACCCCAAAGGGGCACCTGAAAACCAACTGGTAACCAATGTAGTTCGTGAAGTAGAATTACTTCTCCATTTTCTTCAGTACAAATCTGATCTCAAAACTGTTATTATACAATTAGAAAAGTTTAGAAATTTAAAATGGAGGGAAAGGCAAGAAAAATAAAACTTCGTAACATTCTCGCTGGAATGCCTAGGTGGTCTTCAACAGGTACTTTAAAATTACCAAGTATTTTTCTAAAGTCAGGACAGATCCAGATTTCTGACACTGCTACACAGAAAGTTCATTTGTAGGGTGATTGGAAGTTGACAGCATTTAGTGGGATGCACCAAAAGAGTTAGTTTAACCATTGACTAGATATATTACAATGAACACAATTTGTCACAGAGATCTAAATCTGGAGACCCAGAGAATGTGTAAAAAGATGTGATGCCTTTTCCTACGAGGTTAGGAGGCAGTAGTGCTAGGAGTAAAAAAAGAAACCATTGCAAGTAAAATAGGTTAAATACTGTAGGGGCTTCAGTTTCACTAGATCATTCCCAGTTTTGCTAGTTTCTAGATAGCTCTTTAGACCAGGGTTTCCATATTTTGGCAACTTTTAAGATGTATGTGGATTTCAATTCCAACAGCATGTTGACTGAGGAATTCTGGGAGTTGAAGTTCACACATCTTAAAATTGCTGAGGTTGAGAAACACTTGCTTTAAACAACCAAGGGAACACACAATTTCTACACAATCTGTAATAGCACACAGATAACATTCTCCAAACCTTGATCCTGAATTTGGCTAAAACAAACTAGTGTCCCAAGGTTAAATCAACAAACTTGGTTTTAGCAGTTGGGATATTTAAGTAATACCCAGTAGGTGGCAGTACAGTAAAGCCTATCATACTCGCTTTTTTTTACCAGAGTGAAGGGCCTATGGCACCCAATCAAATCTCACACTTTTGTGGTAATTTTGTGTTTCTTATTTTGGGCAGCTTTTAGCTTTAGATCATTTTCTATGATCTTGACTTTTATCCAGAGATTTAATAAATCAAACCGGAACATTTCTGCCTCCTCCAGTTAGAAGAGCCTGGCAATCAGCCTTCTCTCTAAATGCGCAGCTGGTGCAGGAAAAATGTCATTAAATTCTAGTTTCTCCACTAGAGATTGAAGCAAGGATTAGAATAACTGGTTGATTTCCCTTTGAAAAGTTGACTTGAGTTAAAATAGTAACCTGTTCCCAACAGATTCTATTCTTTTATAAGAAAGAGCACACTCCCAAGAACGTTTCAGAATAGTTTCTCTTGAAAATTAAAAATGACTGTGGAACTTGATACCTTTCCTGCAGCTGTTCCTTTTTATGTTCTGCACAGAAGCAGCTACCATTTCCTTTTCTTAAGTTTGGCTCCTAGTTTTCCCATTCCCCCCCCTAGTTAGACAGGGTTTGAATTGTATTCCTTCCAAATGTTTCCCAAAAATCTTGGAACGGTTTCAAGCTTCAGGTTGCTCTTGTTTTATGGAGCTATTGTACTGCGTATAATACAATATAATGACTCTGCTAGAAACATCTAAGTTCTTCTCTGGGACAGCAACTTCTGAACTACATCCTGAAGAATCAGGACTCTAAAAGCCATTACTCTAATCTCAGATCTTTAGGTAACCTAGGAATCCATGCTTGATTCAGAGGATGAAATGAAGAGGACCAATTAGCCACCCAAACTACAGAGCTGGTGAAATTTTAGACTCACTGGAGAGGTTTGTGGTTGAGATTCAGATCTTCTGATGACCTATTGTGAGATAGGAGCCTCTTCAGTAGAGAATGTCGTGATTCCAACAGACAGAGACAAAGTAGAACTCAGAGGCTTGGGAATTCCTCAAAGAACATGTTTATTAGTTACAAAGTATCGGCATGTCAAAAGTGAAACCAAGTCTGAAAACACACGTAACAATTCCCCAATACAAAGTTAAGAAATCCCACCTCTAATGCTATGCAAGCAACTACGTTCCCCAATATATCTTCTTGGCGGGCTTTTCACGAAAAGCCCAGCCTGCAGTCTTGGGAGCAGCCGATGACCTTGGTTCTCACGGGATAAAAGTTTATTTAGACTAGCAAAGCACCTGGCAAAACCCCACCCTCCATTCTATGTGTCAACCAAAAATGAGTAGGAAAAATGGGTGCAGCCATGCTCATTTTTAGAGTTGACAGAAGAATTGTCTTGATGGTATGCAGCTGGTACCTAGGGGTGTGGTTCTGGAGTCTGGCTTCAAAATCTTCAGTTTTTAGCATTCAGTAATGGATTAACATTTCTTTTAGATAATGGTTATTTGATTCCTGGTTCAGAGTTGTTTTTTAATTTTTGTTCTTTTTTGAGCATCCCTGGCTTGTCTTAGACCATGCTTCCAGTTGATCACGTACACTGAATATGCACAGCTGTTCAGCTAAAATACACTGACTAAATTGTGGATCACTGGTGCTTTGAATTTGTCATTGAAAACTAGAAAATTGGGTTGAATTCAGTTAGCCATAAGTTAATGTGCCACGTTGACTTAATTATAGGAAAGTTATGGGAATCTACATGGATGGAGTAGAGATAGGGTCCCACATAATCTGGAAAGAGCTGTTGTCTTAAAGGATATGGATTGCCAGTTTTTTAAATGCAGACTCACACGTCTAATCTAAAGGATACACAACACACCATTTCTATATCTATTTCCCTTTTCTGAGCATATAAATTTTAGTCCACTGGAAAAGCAAATTTGATTTATCCAGAGAATCATGTGACTGGACTTGATTTTGCTACATTTTTTGCAGTAGTCAAGCAAACATCAGTCATTAAGGAAATCAATGAGCACTTTTTGCCATAGCAAAGACATAGCAAATTGCAGTCACATGACTATGGGATGCTGCAAATGACCAAAAAGGTGAGTTGCTGTGTGTGTGGCCATCATAACTTTGAAAGTGGGTTGTAAATTGCTTTTGAAATGTGGGGGGGGAGGTGTCTATCATAATTTTGAAAGGTTGTTAAACTTCCAGTCGTAAGTTGAGGACTACTTGTGTTGCATCTACCCTGGCCTGTTTTAGGTTCAGAAGCTAAGTGGACTTGGTCATCACTTAGATCAGTGGTGGCAAGCCTTTTAGAGACTGAGTGCCCAAACTGCAACCCAAATCCCACTTACGTATCGCCGGGTGCCGGGTGGGCGTGGGTATGGTGGAAATGGTAGACTGGGTGGGGGTGGCCATGATGGGGGGTGACCAACTTGATGTTGCTCTGGCAGGTGGGGCAGTGGGCAGGAGGGCATCTTGCTCAGGTGTGGGGGGCATGGGGGGAGGCTCCTGAGCCCCACAGCTCTTCCGAGGGGAGGAGGAGGAGGTGTGCTGGGATAGGGGCTCCTCGTGCCTTTCGCTGCTTGCCTGCACTCTTCTGCCGAAGATGCTATGGCTCCGCTTGCCTGGCAGGGCAAGGGCCCGCTCGCGCATGGGGACTCATATAGGGCTGCTGCCTCGCTTTCCATGCCTGCTTCCGCCAAAAGTTGCTCCCTTTATAGCCTCTTGCCTATTCCCAGACTGCGCAAGCGTGGAGAGGAGGGAGCAGCTCGGCCCAGCAATGGCTCGCGTGCCATCAGAGACGGCTCCGCGTGCTGCCTGTGTGGCACGCGTGCCATAGGTTCGCTACCACGGACTTAGATGAAAGACCAATCTGTAATTAATTATCTTTTCCAGGACTGCATAGCATGACAATCTTGTGCTCCTGAGAAAATACATTGTTTTTATGAGCCAAGACTGTTCACTGCCACTCAGCTGTAGCCTTTCCACGAGAAGAAAATGATATTGAGGTATTTAAAATACTTTTAAAATATTCCAGATATCAGATATGCCCCTTTCTTCTAGAAGTGATGTGTGCATCTTTAATGAATCGTAAAGAATTGTTTGTATACCGTGCTACACTAAAGGCAAAACACATCTAAATGCAAAGTAGGTGTTTCTGCCAATGGTATATCTTATGATGTTTTCTTTTGGGGTCCAGATGCAAATTAGAATGTGTCCTAGCTTTTTCAGTCATGTTGGATCTGTGTCTCCCTATACATGAAAACTAAATATGTACTATATACAATAAAACTTTTTTGTATTAGCATATAAATGCTTACTAACTAAAGTAACGTATTCT